GATTAATTTTAATTTAGAAAACCCAGAAATTTAAAGTTTGTCAGGCGGTGTGGAGAAGAACTGACCAGGATCAGAGGCTTGTCTCCTTACAGAAGTTCAGGACAGTTCAGGGAAAATACAGTCACCTCAGTAGAAAAGTTTAGATTTTGCAGCTACCGGGAGAGGTTGGTTCAAAATATGCAGGTTATTAGAAGGTGAAAAGATTTAAGCTCTCTCGGATGTGAATATTGATGTAAGAAGGCTCCATAGTCCTGTTGAGAAGAAGTTAAAGATTTGATAGGGGGGGTAATTTCTTCTGACTGGAATCTTTGTAAATTGAAGGAGTTGGGAAATAGGTTGAAAACTTTGTTTTGTTATGAGTTTTAAGATTTTTCATCATATAGCATCCGTAGCGTGCAGATAGAGGCCATTCAGCCCAATGTGTCTGCATGGTCCATTCATCAAACAGCAGCCCACGCTCCTCCCCTCCAATCCACATAACCCCACACTTAAAATGGCTAACCCACCTAGCCTGCACAAACAGGGCAGTTTAAGAAGGCCAATCCATGGTTAGCACTGCTGTCTCACAGCACCAGGTTCAGTTCCACCCTCAGGAGACTGTCTATGTAGAGTTTGCACATTCTTTAAGGTTCTTGTGAAGATTTGGAACGCAGTACCATCCAAACCCCGCCTCCCCCCACTCTCCCTCGTACAGCTAATACTGTGGATCCAATACGTGGACGACACATTAGTCATCAGACACATTAGTTGTCATTAAACGCACCAAGTTAGAAGAGACACACCATCTCATCAACAACATTTTTAACGGGATCAAATTTACAAGAGAAGAGGAAAACAACAATCAACTTCCGTTTCTAGATGTCAGGGTAGAAGAAATGACCAACGGGGAGTTCCAAACCACAGTGTGTAGGAAGGCAGCCCACACTGACCAATTCCTCAATTTCCACAGCAATCACCCCTGCGCCCACAAACAAAGCTGTGTTAGGACACTATTCAAATGGGTCACAACTCATTGCAACACGCCAGAACTATGTAGGAAGGAGGAAGAGCACCTACACAAGGTCTTTGCTAACAACAGAAATCCCAACAATGTCATCCACAGATGCCTACTAGATAGACAACACCAAGAGGGCACAGTATGCCCCAATACTTCCCTGTATAAGAACTGACAATGAGACTCCTGCAACCACTAGGAACCATGGTGGCACACAACCCCACAGCCACACTACAACAAATACTCACAAAGACCAAAGACCCCATACCCATGACATGCAGAGCCAACATAGTTTACAAAATACCTTGCAATGATTGTGATAAACATTACATCGACCAGAAGGAAACTCGCCATTAGGATACACGAACACCAGCTAGCAGCAAAACAACACAACAAACTTTCCCCCATCTCCGTGCACTCGGACTATGAGGCCGTCAATTTAACTGGGACAATGTGACCATCCTACCTCAAGCCAACCTCAGAGATGCACGGGAATTCCTAGAGGCCTGGTTTTTAACCCGTAATGCAATCAACAAACATGTGGAATTCGACCCCATATACAAACCCATATACAGAACAGAACTGGAAATGACACAACCCAACTTAACAGACTGGATCATATAAATACCAAGCAGTGTAGAACAACATTGCTTCATCGGAGGCCGCACTGATGATGTAAATAGCATGGTGACGAAATGCCTGTATGATAACCAGCCAACAACCTTGTTTGCACATTCTCACTGTGTCTGTGTGGATTTCCGCCAGATGCTCCGATTCCTCCCACGGTCCAAAGATGTGCAGGTTAGGGTGGATTGGCCATGCAAAATTGCCCATAGTGTCTGGGGATGTGCCGGCTGGGTTGATTAGCCATGGGAAGTGCAGAGTTACAGCGATAGGGTAGGAGAATGGGTCTGGGTGGGATGGTCTTTGGAGGGTTGGTGTGGATTCAATGGGCTGAATGGCCTTCTTCCACACTGTAGGGATTCTATGATTCTATGAATAAACAAATGGACTCATGTGACACATACATACACGCACCCACACATGTACCAATACACACACATAAGTAACCACAAACACACACACGTGCGTAGGCGCACACACACACACGTGGTCACATGGACCAGAGCACAGCTGCAAACTACAAAGGCAGCTGCTGTCACATGCTCTGGTCCAGGCTCCTCGCTCATGATGACTGTGCTGTTTGCTGAAAAGATAAATTTGGAAAGATTAGGCTTCCAGTAGCTTTACAGGAGTCATTTAATAAGAACTCCATAAACACTTTAAAGCAAACACAGCACTGCGGTGAACTCAAGGCACATTGCCCCCACCTTGGATTCTCATGCCAGAACCTCAAATCTGTGGAAGCAGGCATCCTGTGCCTGCTCCTTCTCTGATAGGCTGGTAGGAGAGGCAGCAAGAAGGAGAAATAATTGGGGAGTTGGCCGTGGGGAGATACCTCCCCCCCCCCGACACCCCACTGCCCCTCCATGAGCTCAGTGAGAGTGGCCACGGGTGTGTGCCTTGCCCTGACAGCCCTTAATTAAGGCCCTTAAACAGTTAAATGAGGCCTGTGATAGGATGAGATACCCAGCCTCCAGTGCCTGACAGCTCTGATTGGGGGCTGATCGGGTCAGTTATCTTGGCATTGGGATCAGTTTGTTAATCACCACCTAAGCTACTCACCCTCTTCAATTTTAATAAAAGTGGACAATCCCTCCCAAGTAATAGGAATGCGCAAACCATTTAGCCCCTCGAGCCTGCTCTGTATTCAGTAAGATCATGGCTATCTCCTATCTCACCTTCACTTCCTTGAACTAAATCTACACCCCTTCATTGCTTCAGAGTCCAAAATGCCCCCAAACATTGAAAGCTCAAGGCTTACAATAGCCAGCCCCCACATGATTTACCTTAGCTCCACTACATTCTTCTGTACTCAGAAATTGTGACCATCACTTCACTACCTCAACAATAAAACAGAAAAAATAACATCATGTTCCATTTGGCAGAATCTATTTCAAATCACAAGACAGCTGGATTAACATCAATACAGATACAGTCAGTAACACGGGGCTCTGGGGGAGAGGGGTTACTGAGTGACAGTGTGAGGGAGCGGGATTAACATCAGTACAGATACAGTCAGTAACATGGGGCTCTGGGGGAAAGTGGGTTTCTGAGTGACAGTGTGAGGGAGCTGGATTAACATCAGTAGAGATACAGTCAGTAACATGGGGCTCTGGGGGAGAGGGGTTACTGAGTGACAGTGTGAGGGAGCTGGATTAACATCAGTACAGATACAGTCAGTAACACAGGGCTCTGGGGGAGAGGGGTTACTGAGTGACAGTGTGAGGGAGCGGGATTAACATCAGTAGAGATACAGTCAGTAACACGGGGCTCTGGGGGAAAGTGGGTTTCTGAGTGACAGTGAGAGAGCTGGGTTAACATCAGTTCTCCCCGGTCAATGGTCCTGGCCAATAGCACTAACAGATTCTTTTGTTAGTAACTAATTTATATTGTATAGGAATGCAAGGTGTTCCCCAGTGGCATTGCTCACTGTGGATATGTTTTAATAACAGGAGTAGTGTTTAAATGGGACTATCCCTTTAAGGCAGCATTGTCAGTTCAGGGAGTTGGTGGTGTCGTGGTCATGTCACGGGGATGGTGCTGTATGACCCCCAGGATAATGCTCTGGGGTTAAGGGTTCAAATTTCCTGAAAGCCAAGAGTAAAATCTGAATTTAATAAAAGCTTGGAATTATAAGCTAGCCTAATGACAACTGTAAAACTGTGTATGATTGTTGTAAAAACCCATCTGGTTCACTTTAAAGAAGGAAACCTGCTATCCTACATGTGACCCCACACTCGTTGCAATGTGGTTGACTATTAACTACCCTCTGAAAATGCCCCTTGCTATGCTACTCAGATCACAGGGCAACTAGGAATGGCAATAAATGGTGTCCCAGCCAGTGATACCTGTATCTCAAGAGTAAGTAAAAAACAAAGTATTGTAAATCAACATCAAGAGAAATCAGAGGTGAAATGTTGTTTTGTGAGTGAAGTTCTAATAATTGTACTGGTCCTGTAAATTTCTAGCTGCTGGAAACCAGCTCTCAATATCTCGGCTCCTCTCCTCGGTTTTACATATTTGAACCTTTTGAGGTGCAGAGACTGAAAGCGATAGTTTGATATTTGTGTAAGTGTGAGATAAGGTTGGGCACTGTCTTGGAAAACAGTAATTAGCAATGCATTCAGAGTGGGATGAAGGCAGGGAAGTGAGATTAAAACAGAAAGTGCTGGGAATACATGGCAGGTCCAGCATCATCTGTGGAAGTTTCTGGAAGGTGTGGGAGAAGGGTTCCTTGTTTTTGTGAAGTCTGACTGGACCATGGGCACTGACCACAACAGTGAGGTCTCACCCTGCCTGAAGCTGCCAGAGGTCAACAGTAACCATGAGGTACAACACCTCAGACTCCCCTATTTAATAAATCACAGGATATGAAGAGATCATTCAGCCCATCGGCTCTGATCAGGTGGTCATTGAATTTTCCTTTTGAAAGCCACGAATGAATCTATTCCCCTAACACTTTCAGGTCTTTCAACACTTCCTGTCAGTGGGGAGTTTGCACATTCTCCCTGTGTCGGTGGGTTTCCACCAGCTGCTCCAGTTTCCTCCCACAATCCAAGGATGTGCAGGTTAGGCTGGCTTGGCCATGATAAATTACCCCATAATGTCCAGGAATGTGCAGGCTAGGTGGGTTAGCCATGGGGAATGCAGGGTTACAGGGATAGGGTATGGGGGTGGTGCTGGGTGTGGGTGGGATGCTCTTCAGACAGTCAGTGTGGACTCGATGGGCTGAATGGCCTCTTTCCACACTGCAGGGATTCTAGGTTCGGGGCAGTGTGTTTCCAGATCATAACAACCCTTTGCGAAGGTAGAATTCTACCCATCACTGTAAACACAAGTATTTCATTTCCTTCATCTGTATTTTTTAATTCACTTTCTGCAGAATGCAAACAGTGCTCTCAGGAGTTTCCCCAAGTCCAGGACCGATCTCTACCAGCTTGTGTAAACATCGATAACCGGTCCAACTCGCTGAGTGAGGTGGAGGGGATGTACTTCGACAAGATGGCTGAGGGCAAGGCAAGTGTCACTCACAGAGTTCAACTTTTCAGTCACCCAAGTGACTCCTTCCATAGACTTGATATGCAAAAGCCATATTTACAAGATTGGTTTGTAGCTGTAAATTGCATTTATACCTTACTTTTGGAGTGTAGTTGCGATGGTGATGGAGGAATTGAAGCAGCCATGTGTTACACAGAAAGCTCTCAAAAGCAGCGACATCGTTGTGATCAGAAAAACCTGCTTTAATGGTGTTGATTGAGGGGTAAATATTAACTAGAACACTGGAGATAGCCCCCTTGCTTTTCCTCTTTAGTAATAGTGGATGGATTCTAAACAATTGTTAGGACAGTGGTAGGTTTTTAAAGTTTAATTTAGATAACAAATACTGCTGCCCCTCTGTACTGGGTAGTCATTCAGGATTCTGTGTTTGCATTGTTGGTGTAATAGGATTATGAGCTGATGGGAGACTGCTACCCACTGCACAGTTGACATTTCCTATTTTGGTATGCCTGCTATTTGTGGTTTATCATGCATGGAGCTCAGAGATGATAAAGAAGAGGGCCACTTCTACAAAACCTCTGGTTGAGGGGCACAGGATAATAGGGTCAGGATTTAAAAACAGAATTCAGTTTCCCAGGTTAAACCTAAGAATATAAAAATAGGACTAGGAGTCAGCTATTTGGCCATATGAGCCTTCAAGCCCGCCTCTGCCACTCCACACACAGTTACGGCTGATCTTTCACCCTACCTGCCCCTCCCGGCCCTTTCTCTATATCCATTACCTCGCTTCAAACTCAGATCTCTACCCAGCCTATCCTATCATGTACACACTCAATGACAGAGCATCCACAGCCTGTAAAATGTCAAAGATTCATTCTACAATGAGTGAAGAAATCTCTCCTTACCTCATTCCTAAATGGCTGAATCCTTCTTCTGAGATTATCACCCCTAGTTATAAACGCTCCAACTGGGACAAACAGCCTTTCGGCCTCTGCCCTGTCTAATTCCCTCTAAGAGAATGATATGTTTCATTCTCCCAAAGCTGTAGGAGTATTGCTCATGTAAGAAATAGATAGAGTTCTAGAAAATAGAAGTATCAAGAGGCGTGTGGAGAGAGAGAGAAAGAGAGAGAGAGAATATGGTGTTGACATAGAGGACCAGTGGACCTGTCACTATGAAGTTAAAAGTGGAGTGGTCTCAATGGGCTGAATGCATTGTCCTGCTCCCATCTTCTATGTTTCTATACGAGATCTCTTCAAAGTCATACATTGTGTCCTCGTCTTGGTATTGTAAGGAATCACAGTCGACACAGGACCTAGGCATCTCTCTCCGTTAGAGAGAGATAGAGAGAGACTAGTCGTTGTATATACCTTGGGTGTAACCACTCCACTGGCATGGGCAAAGGTGAGGAGGCAAGGCCTCCATGATTGGCCACAGGGGAAATTGAACCCATGCTGTTGGCTTTATTATGAACCACACTGTAGTCATCTAACTAAGACCCTTTAGGGAAGGAAACTGCCATCCTTACCTGGTCTGGCCTACATGTGACTCCAGACCCACAGCAATGTGGTTGACTCTTAACTGCCCTCTGGGCAATAAATGCAGTCAAGCTAGCGACGCCCTCATCCCGTGAATGAATAAAGAAAAAAATACCAACTGAGCCAACCCCTTCCCCCTTGGCAGTGAAGTTGCAAAACATAATGGTTACTTGGGAGGCAGAGAAACACAAATGCTGTGTTGTTAAGATGTTTGAAGAGTTTAACAAGGGGTAATAAAGAGAAATCATTCCATCTCTGCTGCAGGAGGATCCCAGGTGCTGGGAACCATTTTGAAATTTCAACCAGGCCATTCAGGGGGGAAGTTAGGCAGCATGGTGAGTTTTAAGGTACAGATGTATCACTGCTTAAATTTTTCTTTTTATTCATTTATGGGATGGGGGTGTCACTGGCGAGGCAGCATCCCTAATTGCCCAGAGGACAGTTAAGAGTCAACCACATTGCTGTGGGTGTGGAGTCACATATAGGCCAGACCAGGTAAGGACATTAGTGAACCAGATGGGTTTTTCCAACAATCAACAATGGATTCATGGTCATCATTAGATTCTTAATTCCAGATATTTATTGAATTCAAATTCTACCAGCTGCCATGGTGGGATTCAAACCCGGGTCCCCAGAATGTTACCTGGATCTCTGGATTAACAGTCCAGTGATAATACCACTAGGCCATTGCCTCCCTTATTCTGAATGAATGTTGAGACAGGGTTGAGGAGCTAAATGACTTTCTCCTATTTCTGTGACACAAGCGATTTGTTTTTGGTACGGAGTTGGAGGAAGGGACTGATCTATAGTAAACTCAGTTCCTCTGCCTGAGGTTGCTGTAGCTGGGCAGCTGTCCAAGGAGCGATCCACATTTGCAAGTGGCGAAATGTTGTGGAAAGGAAAAGATTTTTGGAGCTGCCAAGCCATACGGTGTCTCAGAAACGCAGTCCCAACATTGTCCAGGATCTTGGCCAGACCTGGAACAGAACTTGAGAGATTTTTTTTTGCATCCAAATTTATTTAAAAATGGCACTTTTTTATTGGAGAAATGACGTCTATTTGTACATATACATTTTTAACATAAATAAAAGAAAGATATAATGGAAAGCACAATGTATCTTACCCAAGGGCAGTTCAACAATCATGACTGTTTCCTGTATCTAGCTTTGAGATTGGACATAAGATTGATAAAAAATGAAATACAGATGTTCGTTCTTTTTCTCTGACACATTGTAAATAGTCAACATGTGTTTTCAGCAAGTGTTCGATTGTACAGAGTTCTACAACTGAGGTCAGAATTCATGGTATTATCTGCAGACTATTGATCTAAAGACCCAGGTAATGTTCTGGGGACCTGGGTTCGAATCCCACCGTGGCAGCTGGTAGAATTTGAATTCAATAAAAATCTGGAATTAAGAGTCCAACGATGAAGGTGAAACAATTGATTGATATATTGTTGTCACATGAACTAAGATAAAGTGAAAAGTATTGTTTTGTGTGCTTTACAGGGAGATCGTACCATACAAAGTGCATTAAGGTAACCAAACAGAGTGCAGTATACAGTGTTACATCTGCAGAGAAGGTGCAGAGAGAAAGATCAGAATTAACATTTGAGTGGCCTATTCAAAAGTCTAATAAATGTCATTTAGGGAAGTAAGCCGCTGTTCTTACCTGGTCTTGCCTATATGTGACTCCATACTCATGGCAACATTGACTCTTAACTGCTCCCTGGGCAATTAGAGATGAATAATAAATGCTGGTCCAGCCAGTGACAAACGCACACTATGCATAAATTGGAAAGAAGGACAGGACACCAGGAATAACCCTCCTGTTCCAGGAGTTTTTGCATCAACCAAAACAGGTAGGGGGGTTGGTCCAATATCTCACCCGAGGAATAGCATCTCCCAGAATGCAGCAATTTTAGTTATGAAGCCAGCGACTGGACAGTCTGGGGTTGTTTTCCTTGGAGCAGAAGAGACTGAAAGGGGACATTATGGAGATTATAAAATTATCAGGACCATAGACAGGGCTGATGGGAAGAGACTTTTCCCCTTGGCAGAGGGATCAATGACTAGGAGGCATAGATTTAAGGAAAGGGGCGGAAGGTTTAGAGGGGATGTGAGGAAAATATCTTTCACCCAGAGGGTGGTGGGAATCTGGAACTCACTGCCTGCAAGGGTGGGGGAAGCAGAAACTCTCATCACATTGAAGAAGTATTTGGGATGTGTACTTGTGATGCTCAGGCATACAAGGCTATGGGCAAAGTGCTGGGCAAAATGGGATTAGAATGTTTAGGTGCTGTTTATGACTGGCATAGACTTGATGGGCTGAAGGGTCTTTTTCCCATGTAAAAGGTCCCTATGACTCTCTTCAGAACCACACTGGAGTATCAGCCTTAATGTTTGTGCTAAACCCCATTGAACGGGTGTTGAACTAACAACCTTGTGTATATCAAAGACAACAGACTTACCAACTAAGCCATAGTGGGAAAGACAGGCTGCTACCCCAACCTGGAAGCTTTTCATTGCTTAATTTGTTTTTTGTTTGGCTTCCCTACACCTCACATCTTTTCTGGTCAAAGTGCTAGAAGGTCTGAAGGAGAGGCTTGTTCTCAGATGCTCCTTCAAACTCTGTAGACGGTAGCACATCCTTTGTCCCCAACACTCATCCACCACTGTGCACCCAAACCCCGAACCCTACCCCCAGCTGGTTGTCCAGGTGGCTCACATGGAAGTGTGAAGATTCAATCCCTCAGTATCTCACTGGAGTATCAGCTGCAAACATGAGCTTCAAGTCCCTGAGCTACATTTGAACACACAGCCTTCTATCTCAGAGATAAGCCATTTGACCATCACATTCTCTTGGTACAAATTCTAACTTGTTTCTTCCAATAATCTCTCTGCAGGATGATCCCTTCCTGGATTATGATGATTCTGCGACAGATGCCACGAGCAGTACAGAAGATATTCTCTCCTTGGATTCGTCACTGCAATTGGGTTCGATGCCTTTTAGGGGTCCTAAACTTTCCCGGTATCCGTTAACTAGTAGTTCAGAAGATATCACCAGAGCAGATACTGCTTCGGGCTGCCCAGCGCAACTCAGCAAAGTTGAAAAAAACAATGTTGTCACTCAGCTTATGGCCTGCTGTCCTTCACAAGAAGCCACGGAAAACAAGAAGCCTTCCCTGGTTCTGAAAGCCAGTGGGTGTGGTTTGATGGAGGGAGATGGAGTGGGTCAGAATAACAGTGCATCTGACCTTGAGAATCTATCGGATGATGAAGATCAGGATTCATTACCTTTGTTAATCAGGTCCATGTCCAGCTCCAGAAGGCACAGCTGGGAAGGTCCTTTATCTCCTTCAGCACTTGGAGACGTGAGGAGAAGGTATATTCATGAAATAACAGAAAAATGGTTTTAATGATAGAGATATTTTAATTATACAGATTTATAATGATATACGATCTAACTGTCCCCTTGGATTCTGCATCAGTGTTTCTTATAAAGCTTTAGATAGCATGTTAGCAATGTTGTCTTGATGGCCAATATCTGATAATATTGTTACAGGGTAAAGTGGCAGGTCTAGTGTCCTTACTGATGGCTAGCTCAGTTGGCTGGACAGCTGGGTTGTATATGTAGAGTGATGCCAATTGAATGGTGCAATTTCTGCACCAAGTTGAGGTTACCAAGAAAGACTCTCCTGCTCAACCTCCCCGCCTCACCTGAGATGCGGTGACCCACAGGTTAAACCACCAACAGTCTTCTCTCTCGAATGAGAGAGCAGCCCTATGGTCTGGTTCAAAACATGGTGACTTTGCCTTTTTACAGCTGGGCCAGAATTTACAGGTTTGTGTCTGATGGCCTGAGCATCACTGATACTTGTTGATTATCAATGTGCAAACCCCTCTGAACACCAGGGCAGGCAGTAAGAATGGGAGAGTTTCCTTGACAGCCAGAACCATGTGGTACCATGTTAGCCCTATGTCAATAGACTCCACACATCAGTTCTTGTCAGAGCAAGCCCTGACCTTCTTCCGAGAGATTACCACAAACAGTTGATCCCATATGAATGAGCTCAGTCTGTGTAAATCAGAGGCTTGAAGCAAGGGCTGAGCTGCAATGGAGAGTTTTTAAAGCTGAATAGAGTTATTCTTTCCCAATCAGTCTTGGATAACACCCGACCCTAATTAGCATAGACCTATTAATATCGGAAACTATCCCAAGGTGCCTTGCAAGCAAGTGAACACATGTAATTCCACCTTAAGGCAAAAAGAAAACAGTTAAATCGTAACTTTCATACACATTTCCTTGAGGAGATGTTGGTCAATTGGTAACGTCATTAGATGAATAATCCATAAGATAGAAATAAAACATAGAAATTAGTGGAGCACAGCAGCAGGATTAGGTCATTCAGCCCATCGAACCTGCTCCACCATTCAATCATGGCTGATATGTTTCTCAACACCATTCTCCTGCCTTTTCCCTATAACTCTTGATCCCTTACTAATCAAAAAACATATCTATCTCTGTCTTAAATGCACTCGATGACTTGGACTCCACAGCCTTCTACAGCAACGAGTTCCACAGATTCACCACCCTCTGAAGAAATTCCTCCTCATCTCAATTCTAAAGGGTTATTCCTTCACTCTGAGGCTGTGCCCTTGTGTCCTAGTCTCTCCTACTAGTAGGAACATCTTTCCTTGTCTAGGTCGTAGAGTCACAGAGTCATTGAGATATACAGCACAGATACAGACCCTTCGGTCCAACTCACCCATGCCAATCAGATATCCTATATAAGTATAGTCCCATTTGCCAGCATTTGGTCCCTATCCCTCTAAACCCTTCCTATTCATATACCCATCCAGATGCTGTTTAAATGTTACAATTGTACCAGCCTCCATAATTTCCTCTGGCAGCTCATTCCATACACGCACCATTCTCTGCGTGAAAAAGTTGTCTCTTAAGTCCCTTTTATATCTTTCCCCTCTCATCTTAAACTAATGCCCTCTTGTTTTGAACTCTCGCACCCCAGGGAAAAGACTTTGTATATTTACCCTGTCCATGCCCCTCATGATTTTATAAACCTCTATAAGGTCACCCCTCAGCCTCCAACGCTCCAGGGAAAATAGCCCCAGCCTATTCAGCATCTCCCTATAGCTCAAACCCTCCAACCCTGGCAACATCCTTGTAAATCTTTTCTGAATCCTTTCAAGTTTCACAACATCCTTCCTATAGCGGGGAGACCAGAATTGGATGCAATTCTCCAAAAGTGGCTGAACCAATGTCCCGTACAGCTGCAATATGACCTCCCAGCTCCAATACTCAGTGCACTGGCCGATAAAGGTGAGCGTACCAAATGCATTCTTTCAAGGAGCTATGAACCTGCACTCTCTTCGTTCAACAACACTCCCCAGGGCCTTACCATTAAGTGTATAAGTCCTGCCCTGATTTGTCTTTCCAAAATGCAGCACCTCACATTTATCTAAATTAAACTTTATCTGCCGCTCATCAGCCCATTGGCCCATCTGATCAAGATCCCGTTGTACTCTGAGGTAACCTTCTCCCCTGTCCACTACACCTCCAATTTTAGTGTCATCTGCAAACTTACTGACCATACCTCAAATCAACCGAGAAAGAGACCTACAGTGCTGTCTGACCCAACAGTGAACCTTCATAGATGCTGCCTTTGCTGTTTGGTTTCAAGTTGGTCAAAGAAAAATAAACAAACATTGAATTTTCACAGCTGACCTTGGAGAAACTGTGTAGGGAGATCATAGCAAGGGAGCAGCTAGGTGGCTTGATTAAACTTTAAAAATATAAAACATGGGTATTAAGTTAGTCTGGAGCAGCATTTTTAGAGCAGTAAGACTGTGCTATTTTCTGGGTCTGTAGATTGTTACGGTGCAAAGATGGCCTTTAGTAGAGTGATGAGCTCTTCCTGTTGGATGTGGGGGATTAGGGAGAGTTTCCATGTTACTCATGAGTATGTCTGCAGGAAGTGTGTTTGGTTGTGAATCCTATCGGATCGCATGGATCGTTTGGAGCAGCAGTTCGAGGCAATGAGGAATTTACAGGAGCTAAGGGGTGTGATGGATAGTAGTTGCAGGGAGGGAGATAAACCAAAGATACAGCCAGGTAGATGGGTGACCTCAGGAAAGGTAGGAGAGGGAGGCAGGTAGTGCAGGAATCTCATGTGGCTATCCCCATCTCAAACAAGTATGCTGTTTTGGAAAATGTAACGGGTGATGGATTCTCAGAGGAATGTAGCACTGGCTGACAGGTTTCTGGTACCAAGACTGGTTCTAATGTAGTGAGAGGTATGTCAGGTTCCAAGCGAACAATTGTGATGGGGACTGTCTAGTCAGAGGCACATCCAGACATTTCTGCAGCCGACAGCGAGAAATCAGAATGGTGTGTTGCCTTCCAAGTGCAAGAATCAAGGAGATCTCGGAGAGAGTGCAGAATATTCTCAAAGGGGAAAGGGAGCAGCAGGAAGTCATTGTACACATTGGAACTAACAACATAGGAAGAGAAAAGGACAAGATTCTGAGGAAATTAGGCAGGAATTAAACAGTAGTCCTCAAGGGGAGTAATATCTCGATTGTTCCTGGACCAATGAGCTAGTGAGGGTAGGAATAGGAGGATAGAGCAGATGAATGCGTGGCTGAGGAGCTGGTGCAGGGAGAAGGATTCACATTTTTGGATCATTGGAACCTCTGCTGGGGTAGAAGTGACCTGGATAAGAAGGATGGATTGCACCTGAATTGGAAAGGGACTAATATACGAGTGGGGAGATTTGCTAGAGCTGCTCAGGAGGATTTAAACTATTAAGGGAAGGTGAGCATGACCAAGGGAGATAGAGAGGAAAGAGCAGTCTGAGACTGGTGTAGTTGGGAAAAGGAGTCAGTCAAACAGACAGGACAGGCAGGAACAAAGCAGAGAACGAGGTAGGACTGATAATTTAAACTGCATTTATTTCAATGCAAGAGGCCTAACAGGTAAGGTAGATGAACTCAGGGCATGGTTAGGTACATGGGAGTGGGATATCATAGCAATTACAGAGACGCGGCTCAGGAATGGACAGGACTGGCAGCTTAATGTTCCAGGGTATAGCTGCTATAGGAAGGATCGAAAGGGGAGCAAGAGAGGAGTGGGAGTGATATTTTTGATTAGGGACAACATTATGGCTGGACTAGGGAAGATATTCCTGGGAATTTGTCCAGGGAAGTTATTTGAGTGGAACTGAGAAATAAGAAAGGATGATCACCTAACTGGCGTTGTATTATGGACCCCCAAATAGTCAGCAGAAAATTGAGAAACAAATTTGTAAGGAGGTCTCAGTTATCCGTAAGAATAATAAGGTGCTTATGGCAGGGGATGTTAGTTTGCCAAACATAGACTGGAACTGCCACAGGGTCATGGGCTTGGATGGAGAGGAATTTGTTAAGTGTGTACAGGAAAATTTTCTGATTCAGTATGTTGATGTACCTACTAGAGAAAATGCAAAAGTTGACCTACTGTTGGGAAATAAGGCAGGGCAAGTGACTGAGGTGTCAGTGGGGGAGCACTTTAGGGCCAGTGACCATAATTCTGTTAGTTTTAAAACAGTGATGAAAAAGGATAGACCGGATCTAAAAGTTAAAGTTCTAAATTGGAGGAAGGCCAATTTTGACGTTATTAGGCAAGAACTTTCAAAAGCGGATGTTCGCAGGTAAAGGGACAGCTGGAAAGTGGGAAACTTTCAAAAATGAGATAACAAGAGTCCGGAGACAATACGTTCCTGTAAGGCTGAAGGGCAATGCTGGTAGGTATAGGGAATGCTGGATGACTCGAGAAATTGAGGTTTTGGTCAAGAAAAAGAAGGAAGCATATATCAGGTACAGACAGCAGGGACTGAGTGACTTCCTAGAAGAGTATAAAGGCAGTAGGAGTATACTTAAGAGGGAAATCTGGAGGGTGAAAAGGGGACATGAAACAGCTTTGGCAAATAGAGTTAAGGAGAATCCAAAGGGATTGTACAAATATATTAAGGACAAAAGGTAACTAGGGAGAGAATAGGGCCTCTTAGAGATCAGCAAGGCCACCTATGTGTGGAATCGCAGGAGATGGGAGAAAATACTAAACGTGTATTTATCATTAGTGTTTACTGTGGAGAAGGACATGAAAAATAGAGAGCATGGGAAAAAATGCAACATCTTGAAAGATGTCTATATTACAGAGAAGGAGGTGCTGAACATCTTAAAATGTACAAAGGCGGATAAATCCCCAGGACCTGATCAGGTGTACCCTAGAACTCTGTGGGAAGCTAGGGAAGTGATTGCTGGGCCCCTTACTGCGATATTTCTATCATCGATAGCCATAGGCAAGGTGACAGAAGACTGGAGGTT